TTTGACCCACAACTGAATACCAGTTTCTAGAATATATAGTATCTTTAACGATTTGGTTTAGATTAAAGTTTTGATTCGATTCACATACACCCCGCGGTAACACAAAGTTAATATAAAGGAATGCACGACATTCTTAATAAAAATGTTCCCATCTTTGCACTATACCTCTAGTGTACATTTCAACAACCAAATATCGCGTTCCCACTAAATTGTCGGTAAACACAAAGACATGCGAGAAGAAGTGTAAATTGGAACACGTGCTCGAGACTATTTCGTTCCTTATTTATAAGATTATTCGTTACAGGGTCAATATCGAGGAGAGTGTTTGTTCGGGGTTCACTGTCAACATAACAGCCTCGACACAGTATTAACTCGAGATTAGCACGAATAATTAAACCACTTAACGGAATTATTAACGGAATAATTGCGTTAGATCATCGTTTTCCTTAAATGCGTAGAAGTATTTAACAGTGGAATACCGGCTTATACCATTAGCTATGGCAAGTGAACTAGTCTTGTCAACACAACTACAATGAAACCGTGTCAACACTTAAAAAATTTGAACCCATGACTCTAGAATTGAGAAAAGTAAGGCTGTTTTTTCATGGCGCCTACACGTTAACACGACTGTCATTTCCAGAGTTGTTTTCTGTGGAATGAACACACACTATTCAAGCCATATAGTTGTTGATTTCCTTGGATTAATGTTATCTGCGCATGCTTCAAGTTGGTTTCAACTATCACTCCACAGGTTGTTGTTTGTCGTTGGTGCAGCCCGCAATACAGCCACGATATTTGCAAGTAATTTAATATGAGATTTTTCACCCACGCGTGATAACATGTATCGCTTGGATACCATCGAGTGAAAGGTCGAAAATCGACCTATGGTCTCAGAGTAATCCGTCACACAAAAAATAAAACGGAGAATTTAACCAAAGCCATTCATGCATCCACTACGCATGCGTTAATATTCGATCGTCCCCCATACGCGAAACAGGCAAGAACACCTTATAGTATACGAACGTCAAACAACGACTCAACAACTCATGCCATGACAGGGATTTGATAAAATACCATATATTATGAGAGAGAGAAAGACAGCAGTGCACAGGTGA